TCTGCCCCCTTCTTCAATTTCCCCATCCCCTGGCCCCTCTCTGCTCTGATCCCCAGTTCCTCTGCATCCTGATCCCCTTCCACCCTGTCCCGATCCTGCCTCCCCTCCTGCTCTGGTGCCCTCTGCCCTGGCCTGGCAGGTGCAGCTAGCAGCAGCGCCTTGGGGGCTAGGCCCACACAGAGATGCTGTTTGCCCCGCAGGAGCCTGCCTGGCTCATGGGAACCCCGTTTCCCCTCCAGGACAGGCTGAATGCCACGTTCCCCTTCCTGTTCCCAGGCCAGTGGAAACATCACCAACACCGCGGCTCCCACGCCCCTGCTTTGGCTGGATTGTGTCTTTTGAGGCTGCTGTTGAGCTCCTGGACCTATCTCTAGGCTCAAGCTCTCAAGGCTTTAAGCTCCAGTGGTCCCAGGTTCGATCCCTGAGACGACTCAGCCAGGCACCCTCGTAGCTTTGCTACAGCCCTAGGCTGGGCCTGGCCTGGCAGCCACCACAACGGAGCAGACCCTGCACTACCTGCAGCCTTGAACCCCAAAGGCGGATCTCCTCACCCCCATACAGCCCCCCCACCTTTGCAAGTTCCCGCGTTGCCAGACCAACTCCCAGCAGCCCACGTGAGATCCCGCCACATCTTGCTTTTTGTTTCTGCCCATGTTGCCTCTGGCATGTTCTTTTCCAATCCTCCTCTGCACCCCCATCCCTAGCCGATACCCTCCCCCACCTTCACACCCTAGTCTTCCAGGTGCCTGAGCAATTCTGGCCATTTCTACACAGCACTGAACACCTGGGGCTGTTCAGGAGCAGAGGTGGCTCCCAGATGACCACATGATCAGTGACTCTGTCCTCGTCCTGCCCCATCGCCTCCCACATCTCCTGTCATTCTCGTGGCCTGTAAGCTGTCTGGGGCAGGGACTCCATCGGGGCCGTGCACCTCTGCAGCACTACGTAGGGAGCAATAGCGGTGCTGTCTCCTATAGGGGCATCTGCTGCCCAATTTATGCAAGGAAATATTTATTTTACGCGGTGCATAACTGGCCTGAGGAACTCACTGCCACTGGATACCACTGAGGCCAAGAGCCCTGGAGGAGTCAAAGAGGGATTGATAATGAGAACAGACCCAGCTACATTATGGGTTAAAAGATAGGGCTATAACTCTCCTGCTTCAGGGCCTGAGCCACCCTCTAACTGACGGTGTCAGGAAGAAACTCCTCTCTGAGCAGGTTGTTCCTTAATTGTCCATGGCGGGGCAAGTCCTTGCACCTTCCTCTGAAGCAGCTGGTGCCGGGCACTGTCAGAGCCAGGATACTGGCTTAGATGGCCTCTGGTCTGATCTGGGCTGGCCAGGCCTGAGTTCTGGGTCCGGTCTGCTCTGCTAGTAACGTTTGCAGAGAACCAGGCCTGAAAATAAAGGCCTAGACCAACCAAGGAAAGTCTCCAGCTCAGACAGGATGTGTGGCACCAGAACACGCCCACTGCATTCCGGGGCATCAGCCCTTGTCCTGCCGCCAGGCCGGGCATTAGCCACACGCCCAGCCTTCCTGCCCCCCAACACACTGTTCTGCTCCCACTCATGGGTAGCCCCACTGTGGTGAGATGCAGCTGGAATGCACCGCAGGCCCCAGCCAGATGGGGCGGGAGGAGCCGAGCAGCTGGCTCAGCCCAGAGCTCTTCTGGCCGAGTCTTGAGCGGACTGGAGGCCTCCGAGGGCTTAGAGTGAGTTCTGCAGGAAGCTCAGACCCTCGTCTTCCGGGCGCCTTGGCACCTGCGTGGCAATGCTGATCCCGGCAGCTGAGAGGCCTGCTCCTTCACCCAGCAATCAGGGTAAGGGTCTGTCCCCCTGGCCCTGCTCAGCTGGGCCTCTGGGGATGGGGCGGGGGGGAACTGAGGCACCTTGTAGCTTGGGTGTTCCCTTCCTTTGTCATGACTTGGTGCCCGGCCTCCTGCCCCTGCGGCCCACCCGCTCTGCTCCTGCTGCCCAGTGTGTCTGCCAGGCGGGCGGCAACACATCAGCAGTACAGCTGGAAGGGGAGCCCAGGTCTCTGCCTCCCTGGCTCGAGCCACTGGGCCAGGGCACTGCACAGGTGGAAGCTGATCTCTCAAGATCTTGCAAAACACACAACCACCCCATGGTGCTGCTGCAGATCCAGGGCCTGGGCCTGACTCCGGGGGGGCTGGGGGATCTCAGTGCAGGAGGAGGGGGCCAACAAGCTCTCCACTCCTTGAGAGGCTCTGTAGTCTGGTGTCATCCCCTATAGTGTATCCAGTTACTCAGCATTCTGGTAAATGACTCAGCCCAGCAGAGCGCTGTAACCTGAGAGAGCCATTCCCAGCGTCCCCCCCAAAACAGCAGCTCCCCACCAGTCAGCGTCCCTGAGATCACCCAGAGTGACACACCGAGAGCAGCCGGGATTCCATGTGGGGGGGAAATGATTTCTGGCCTCAGTTTCCCCAGATGTAAGACGGGGTGATAATTTGGGCCGCACCCCAGCACAGGGGGAGGGGGGTATATGGGCGAACATGGGTGGCAGTGAGGTGGCATTAAGAGTGCCCTTCTGGTGTGGAGGGCGTCCTGTTAACCTAGGCATCAGCCAGCAGCAGGAGGGAGGGTGGGCTTGTGGGCGAGGCGCTAGGCAGGTCTGGCTGAGCCCGTGTTATAGGGATGGAGCCATGCAAAGACCTGGGTGGAGAGTATCAGTGCAGAGGCATTACATTGCTGGGGTTGGATGGGTGATGTGGTTTGGGTGTTTGGTCTCTGGGTATTGTCTAGCTCTGTCCCAGACAGTGCAAGAGAGGTGCAATCCCCACTGACATCCTCGCCCCGACTCGTCTGAGGTCGGTGGCACGCCGGGAGCTCCCTTGGTTTAACACCAGACGGCATTAAAGGAAGCTAAAGTCCACGTGCCCCTTTCCTGCTTAGCCACATGCAATCGCTGTGGCTGCCCGGGGGTGAATGGAAGGGGGAGGCATCCAGCATCCAGACAATCTCTGTATTCAAACGAAGGCCGCACTATGAGAGGGTGTGAGCACCCCTGGCACCCCACGTCTCTCCCATCAGGCATGCCAGGGCGTTAATAATCCCACATCTGGAATTTACAGGGCATTTGGCTCGCAGGCTCTGCCTGGAGTCTCAGGGGTGGTGCACGGTGCAGACTAGACCTCCAGATCCAAATGCCCCAGGGGTACCAGAAATACGTCTCCAGAGCAAACATCCAAACAAAGCGCCTCGCCTTGGTAAGCACAGGGGGAACAAACGGTAACAAGCCGATGGGAATGTCCCCCAATGTTAACATCTGCAGACACGTGACAAGCAAACCACGGCAGCAGCGATACGGATCACATGCCGGATGGGCAGCAAAGGGCGCTCCCAGCAGGCCGAGCAGAACGGCAATGTAATGCCCACCCACGAGCTGGCACTCAGTGAGCAGGAACAGCTTGTGCCCTGGCAGCGCTTTTCTCCCGAGACCTCCACGCGCTTTGCAAACACACAGGCGCTGAACCTCCCGACCCCTTCTGGCAGGAGGGCACGCTCCATAGCTGTGCCTGCATTTTACAGGTGGGGGAATTGGGCATGGAAAGGCTTGGGCCAACATTTTCAGAAGTGGCCAGTGATTTGGGGTGCCTCTATTTCTGCATAGCCAACCTGCAACACCTTCAGAGTGGCTAGGGTACTGGACTGCGATTTGGAAGAGCTGGGATCTTTACTGCTGTGACCGTGAGTCACTGCCTTCTCTGTGCCTCAGTTTCCCCTGGCCTGTCTTGGATTGTACAATCCTATTTGGATTGTAAGCTCTTTGGGGCAGGGACCGTCTCTCTCTCGGGGCAGTGCCCAGCATGATGAGGCCCTGATCCCTGCCTTAGGGTGTGAGTCTAAGACAAATAATTAATAATTGAAAATTTTTGCCTAAAAGACTTGACCAAGGTCACAGAGCAGGTGAGTGGCAGAACCCAGGAGTCCTGCCTCTCCCAGTCTCCTGCTGAAGCACACTGCCTCCCTGGTGATCACGACTAGCCTTGCTCTCCAATCTGCCTCAGCTTCCTCGGGACTAAGAACACCACTTCCTGAGTCCAGTTCTCACTTCCTTCCGTGAAAATCCCCTTCCCTGCCTGCCAGGCTTACTCCCCAGCACATCCCTGCCCGTAGTGAATGATCGCCCGTGGCGTACCAGGGGCACGGCCTGCCCAATCGGGAACACACACTGCAGAGTCCCATAGTGACACCGGGAACCTCCACAGTGAGCCAGGCTGTGGGGCTGCCTCCCCGTGCCACACCCTGCCAGCCGGAGCCCGGGAAACGCCCTGCCTGGAGAGACACTGGGAGCCGCAGGGCTTGGGAAGTTTCTCACTGCTCACGTCCCGTCGCGCGTTCACCCTGGGGATCCCCACGTCCCAGACACAGCATGTGCCTTGGGCAAGATCGTCCCCAGGCCCTGCCGGGAAGGCAGACGGGAAGGGCCAGGTCGAAGTGGGGAGAGGAGAGCTGCGTGGGCACGAGGCCTACTCCGCCCTGGGGCAGGGGGCTTCCCACCTGGTGACAGAACCACGTGGCTGGCTCTGCATCAGGGCACACGGGGGCTCTCGGTAGGGCTGGGCAGTCACTCAGAAAGACTCTACCCCCACTGACAGCCGAGTGACTCCAATGGAGCTCTGCTGGATTCACACTGCAGCCCCTGTGAACGGGCTGGCCCCTGGCCTTTCGCCACCGGAGTCCTGTGCTCCCCTCTGGGCCACCCCGCCTGCCGGAGGGGCAAGGTGTGGGCAGGGGGTGGCCCAGAGGGCAGTGCCAGCAGGAACGTTCTGTACGGCACAGAGCTCCTCCCCTGTCACCTCCGGGCAGATGTAAACCCAGGCTGCAGGGGCTTCCCCCGACCCTCCCAACATCCCATCGGGACCTCCCTGCCCCCGCTTGCCCCCCTGGGCGCCAGTGCCGCCAGACCAGCAGCGGAAAATCAAACCCAGGCAACCTCCTGGCTTCGAAGGGCAGCCAGCGCCACGGCACTCACCGTGCGATACCCCGGTCACCGTCGCATCCTCACGCCAACCGGAGACAGCCGTTCATCATCGGTTCCCCCCGAAAGCGCCTCCCGGGGCTCCCTGTCTCGCTGCCAGACCCGCGGCATGGAGGCCGTGGGGAGGGAGCCCCACGCGCTGCTCACAGCCTCTCAGCTCCAGCTGGTGACTAAGGAAACTGCCGGCTTTGGCTTTCACTTCACAATGGGAACAACAGCAGCATCCTGAACAAAGTGTCTGTCCCCCCGGGACCGTCGGCGGGGAGGGGGAGTCACGTGGGCCCGTGCCCCTCAGGCACACGCCAGCTCTTTATGCTGCTGGCTGAGGGGAGGGTGCCAGGTGGCTGTTGTGACGCCACACACACACACACACACACTGTCTATACACACACACACACACTGTCTATACACACACACACACACACACACACACACACACACACACACAGTCTATACACACACACGCGCACTCAGAATTTCTGATGCTGCTTGCTCGGTGCCAGCTTACCCCACACGTGGGTGTGGGCGGACGCGTCCGGTTCATTGCCAGACTCTCTCATTGCAGAGGTCTCCGCCAGCGCTCGCTAACCCTTTCCTTCCCAAGCCTGCCTCTGGAGAGAGCCGTCGCAGACGCTGACCCTGCCAAGCCTTGCTCCCGGCTCTGTCCAGAGCAGGCAGGAAATCTCTCCAGTTGTTCGCTTCCTTCAGTTAAGGGCGACCCCGCCAATTGTCTTTCAGCGCAGGGTGTGTGGCCTAGTTAACAGGGCCTGGGGCCAGAGCAGCCAGGATGTCCTGGGTTCTGGGGCACCCTCTGAGAGGGAAGCATGGCCTAGTGCTTAGCGCAGGGCTCTGGGAGGGGAGTGTTTAGAAGAGGGTGGTGGGAAGCAGGACTCCTGGGGTCTGTTCCTGGCTCTGCCATCGACTCATTCAGTGGCCTTCGTCAAGTCCCTTCTCCTGGCATTGCCAGCTGCAAACAGTCCAAAAAAAAATCACGAGTGAAACACCCCAGAGAATCAGGAGATGGAAATGTGCATTAGAGCTGTCTGTCTACAAAAAAAAAAAAAAAAAAGAGGGGGAGCGATAGCTCAATGGTTAGTGCATTGGCCTGCTAAACGCAGGCATGTGAGCTCAATCCTTGAGGAGGCCATTTAGGGATCAGGGGCAAAAATCTGTCTGGGGATTGGTCCTGCCCTGAGCAGGGGGTTAGACTTGATGACCTCCTGAGGTCCCTTCCAACCCTGAGATTCTATGATCATTTTTAACAGCTGCCTGCTGATTTTGCACCACCTCATCCCCCATGCCTCACCAGTGTGCAGGCGACAGTCACTCATGTGTCCCCGACTCACTTCTCCACTGTGGGTGTGACAACCACAGCATCAGCAGCTCTCACAAATCCCTCAGGGGAGGGGATTTTGTGTCCCCTGCTGCAGGAGCACTCCCTAGTGAGCCCAACTGGGATCAAGACCCTATTGTGCTTGGTGCTGTACGGACACAGAGCAGGAGAAAGGGCCCTGCCCCGAAGAGCCAACAGCCTAGTGAAAACCTGGCAGTGGGCCTGGGACGAGGAAGCTGGAACTGAGACCCACCAAACTTATCCCATCTAGGAGCCTCGGAAAGAGCTTTAGTCCCTGCTGCTTCACAGGAGTGCCCTACAAGCCAAGGTAGCTTGGCTAGTGACAAGCTGGGGCGACCAGTCCCCATCAGTGCCAAACCGACACCGATGCTTCTTTTATTAAAGCCAGCCCTGCCCTTCTTGTAGGGTAACCCTCTCTGCTCCATCTCAAACTCTCTCTCTCTCTCTCTCTCTTGCAGGCACACCCTCTTCTTAAAGGGACAGCTCCCAGTAACTGAGCACACCAAGTAAAAATGCAGCTGTAATGGAAACAGTGGCACCAGAGCCCAATTCACTAGAAAATAATTTGCAACATGGAACCATTGCAACGACAGTCCCCGGGCCCGTACGCCAACCGGGCCTCAGGCTCACCTCGATGGCACGTCTCAGTTTGTCTGTCACACGATCGCTTTGGAACGCTGCATTCGATTGGGTCCAGATTTCCAGGGAATGTTCTGGGCTCTGATGGACAGATCCCTGTCGATT